GCCCGCGCAGACCGCGACCTCGCTTCCCGTGGAGCCCGGCCCGGCTCTCAGCTACCCGCAGGAGGAGGCCACCCTCAACGAGATGTTCCGCGAGGTTGAGGAACTGATGGAGGACACGCAGCACAAACTGCGCAGCGCGGTGGAGGAGGTGGGTGCGCCCTGAGGGGCCGGGCTCCGGGAGGCGCCGGGCTGGGGGTCGGGAGACTGGGTTCCGAGGGCCGTCGGGGACCTCGGGTCCCGCCAAGGGGTCGGGAAGGGCGGCCGGCAGGAACAGAGCGACCTGGGGGCAGCGCGGGGTGATCCCGACTCCCGCCGGGTTCCGCTTTCCTGCCCGAAGGTCTGGGTCTGAGCTTGCCCACCGAGAGTCACCGGCTGGACTCTCCCTAGGTAGCTGGGGCCGCCACCGGCCTGCAGGCTGCCGCCGCCACCCTGCAGTTGTCTTCAAGCGTGCAGTTGGCCTCCTCTGTTGTGAGCGGACGTTTGCAAGGCTCCCGGCGTTCCCGCGCAGTGGTTCTGCAGAGATCCCGAGGAGAATCCATGCAGCTCCAAGATTTAGCTTGTCTGTGGGGATCTGGGCTTGTGCCGTCTTCCCCAGATACAGTTAGGACACCATGTGGGGACAAAGAGACAAAGAGCCCTGAGCTTTGCTGGCAGTCTGTCTAGGCTGTCTTGCTTCCCCTAATACCATGTGAGGGCAGAGAAGCAAGATGGAAATCCTAAATCCCAGCACGGTGTGAGTGGTGGGTGAGACTGTGAGAGGCGAGCCGGCCTCTGGAGTGCTTTGGAGTTAGTCCCGGGCTCAGGTTCTCCTCTGTCACTCACCGGGGTGAATCTCCGTTTCCTGTGAGAATTACCAGCCATGTTATATGTATAGGCACCTGGCAAATAATAGGTGTGTGATTATCAGATAGCAGATACCTGTGCGGGGTTTTGCCTGCCTTCTGCCTTCCATCGCCTTCCAGGTCTGAACACTGTGGATGGCATCCTGTTCTGTCTGTGGTGGGCACCCAAGCATGGTGAGGGCTGCTGGGGGCAGGGGGTGTAGCTGGCCTAGCCTTGTGGATCCAGGTGTGGGGAGCTGTCCCTGGTGCCTCGGGTGGGTAGGCGTGGTCACTGGGGGGCTTGGCTCTGGCTATAGTCTATCTTTGGAGAGGAGCTAGTCGTCCTGTGCAGGCGTCAGCAAGGGGCAAGATGTCTAGGTGGTTGGTCAGGCTTCTCCACACCCCCGCTTTCTCTAGCTTGGCAACCTCCTCGGGAAAAGCCCTAAGTGCTGCCCTTGTCTACCGGGAGCCAAGTCCTGTGCAGTTGGCGATATTTCCCTTTTCACCTCACAGCAGTCAACCTGATGGAGTTTGCAGTGAAGGGGACCCTGGATTGGGAGACTGTGGCATGGACAGCTGTATCTGTCTACCAGACAGAACCAGATCCAGGATCTGTGATCTTTCTGTTTCCTCTGATTGCAAAACAATCATGACATGGAACAATTTGAGGGTGAAGGGAGTCAGATAGGCCCAAGTGTCTCTTAACCCTGCAGCTTCAAATGAAATTGAGCTTGTGACCCTTCTGGTTTCATGAAAAGCTATCTGCTTTCCCTAGCTGGGTTCCAGGACTTTCCCTCCTGCACATGGATTCCACAAAAGACTGACTAGGTACCTCCATTTTTTTTTTCAGTGGGAAAGTGTCTGCCACTGTTTAGAAAGTTCTCGGCATGGTTCTCTGGTGTTAGCCCCTAGTGAGAGAGAAGAGTGGGTGCCCAATGGGACTTTAATGACAGTGTCGTCTTCATGGGAATTATCCTTACTGGGTCTTGCCAGGACCCCAGCCTTCCTCCCTCCAGTCATGGCTCTGCTTGGGTTGTGTAGGTAGGCAGGATGAAGTTTGCCACCAGAGGAGACATTTGATGGTCACATCTACCCCAGTCAGTGGTCATTTCCCAAAGAGTATCCTTGCTGGCACTGGGTTGGAATGAGAGAGGTTGAACACCTTCATGGTAGGAGGATGGACCAATCTTTATTCACCCAATCCCAAAGCTATCCCTTAGCAACAGTGGAATCCAGAGTCTGAAATGGAGAAAATGTCCATCCCTTGGGATAAAGGGAGAATTAACTGAAAGGATGAAAGTAAAGTGAATTCCCTGACCGTCTAAAATGGGGTTAAGTAAAATCAGCACAATACTAGTAGCTTTCTCATTAGGCTGTTTTGAGGGTTATGAGATTGTTGGTCCTCAGTAAATATTAGCTATCATTATCTTAATAGTAGTATGAATAATATGTATGAATAGTAGTATGATGAATAATAGGTACCACCAGTGTCTGATAGATTCTCAATAGAATATGTCTTTTAAAGTAGCTTAAAATGACAAATATATCTTTTTAAATATTTTTAAAAATGGAATAGATTCTTAATAGATTGTGGGTATTAGTATTAATTTTTTTCTCCGACAGATTGCCAGAAAGCCCCTTAAATCTCATAAACACAGGATACTTGCTATTTAGTTGTTGACCAAGGAAAGAACCAAAAAGGCCATGGGCCAGATGCATTCATTGTTTACATAGTTGCATCATGAATCTGCTTTCAAGTAACTTCCTGCTGTTTTAAATGTCTCAGCTGAATCAAGCTGTTCATGTTTGTTAAGGGGAAAGACAAAGTTACTTTACTAGTGGGATTTTTATTAGGAGAAGCAAGTCTTCACATGACTCCAATCTAGGGTATTCTTGTTTTATTATTCTGCATGTTATTAACAAATTTATTTAGAGGATCTTTCCACTCTGTTTCTCCTGTCCTCATTGTCAGCTCTATAACTGCCTAATTTTAGAATGTTCTTATTGTCTCAGCTATTTCTAGCAAGAACCCCAATACCAAGCCTGGACTTACCGCTTCAATTTTTCCTACCATGCCCCTTTTGCAGACACACAGATTTCACCAACTATAAATGCCATTTTTAATAGCATTCCCATTCCTTCTCCATGAAACAGCTCCTTTTGCTTCAGGCTTAAGTTTCTCTTGCTGGTAGCAGTAATAGCTGTGGTTGAAATTTCCATTGTAAGCTATACTTTTAGTTCATGGTGCCATTAAAGAGCTGTTAGCTCATTCTGTTGAAATAACCACTGTCTGATGGGGGAAGGGTCTTGTAAAAAGACTATCTGCTCAGCAAATTCTAGATTTGGTAGTTGTCAATTATTTGAAAGCCAAGCTACAGGATTCAGATTCCAATGAGAATTATAAAAACTACTTAAACATTCCCTTCTCCTTCTGGATGAATCCGTCTCAGCATCTTCCAGTTGCTTCTCTTTCCAGCTGTATCTTTTCTATCACTAATTAGATTGGTGGTGGAGGAGGAGGTGAAGAGGAACTTTTATGCCCATTCTGCTGCCTTAGTTCCACTTGTCCATTTTGCTGGCAAACTTTAAACATACAGAGGATACCAAAAAAATGTATACACAATTAAAATAGTAATAGTATATATACCCGCCTATTGCATGGTGATGCTAGCATTCATTTGATTACTGCTGTCTTTTGAGCGACCGTCATACTACACATTGCTACCGTAACTTAATTCAACTTCAAAAAGTAATACATAGATAATATCTCTTTAAAATGTGTATATATATTTTGACACCCTGGTAGTATCAACTTCTTGCTGTTCCCACTGCTACCTACACATTCTCTTCAGAACTCTGGCAAACTGACTTCTTCTGGAACTGCCTTCTTAAAGGACATGGGAGCTGCTGTGCTTTGTGGCAGTTACTATGCCAAGCACTTGGGTTTCATGGTCCTCAATTCTTACATCCACACAGCAAGGTAGGAGATCTCCATTTTATAAGTGAGCAAGCAAGCTGAGGTTTACACGGATTTAACATCTTGCCCGTGGTCACGTGGCTACTTTGTGGCAGAGCCAGGACTTTAACCTACCTTTTCTGACTCCAGAATCCTGATACTTTCTACTGTGTTGGCTTTGGACAACACTGGAGGCAACCCCTTGTCTGATCCAGTGGCCATCTCTCGGTGGCTTGGTCCTTCTAGACTTACTGGAAGCCTTTTTCATTTAGAAGGCCCCTTCCCAAAGATAGTTCCCTTCTCCTAGGCCTAATTCTAGCTAGTTCTTTGACTTCTCTCTCTTCCTTCTCTAGTCTCTATATAATTTTCTAAGTCTTCTAGAGCTTGCTGTGACTCCTTATTGCCTGGAACAGATGTTCTTAATTGGAGGCATTTGGAGGAGAGGGAAATCCTCAGAAGCATCTGAGAAGCCTCCAGAAATTCCAATTCAGCATTCGTCAGGTCTGGAAAAGGATCCAGGTGTGTGTGTGTGTGTGTGTGTGTGTGTGTTTGTGTGTGTGTGTGTCTGTGTGTGTATTTTAAAGTTTTGGTCATGATACCTTCCTCAAGATTGCTGTGAATATTCCAGGCATCTGGTGCAATGGCTCAGACATAGCCAATGCCCTAAACATGGGGCTGTTGTTATTATTGTTAGGCTAGCGATCGTTTCAAACATCTCAGCAGTCATCTAAGAATCAAACACAGCACTGCATACCCAGCAGTCATTGACCCAGTCCTTGTCTGATTAAGTTGAGCCTTTTTGCCTACCAAACTTTCTTCACACTTCTAGTTCAATGTTTTTGTGCTGCATTGAGACAAGGGTATTCTTTCCTCATCCACCCCAGCTCACAAATCTGGTTGGGGGAGGAACTTAAAGAGGGGGCTCATCTGGTACTTAAGGGAATAGAGGCCAGTGCTTTTTTAAAAGTAGGAACATACTTTGTGAGGATTCGTTTGAAAGAGTAAAAATAGCCCAGAGTCTAAGATAGCAGTGTTGGAAAATTGCCAGCTCTCCACTAGAACCTCTTTGTGGCTCTCATTTTAAATTCCTAGAGAGAGTACCCGATTGGCTCAATTAGTCCATGATATGGCCTCCCTTTGGGTCCAATTAGCTGTGAACAGGTCACGTTGCTGACTGCCCACTCTTCTGGGCTAGGGCAAGGCGATGGAAGGAGAAGCTGGGGGCAGACACAAGTTGACTGACATATCTGGTACAGATGTCATGGAGGCACACGAGACTGAAGGATTTGAGGACAGTAACCTCAGAAACCTGACACCAGAGAAGGTCTTAGGTTCAAGAAGAGCCAGAGAGGTGTGGACCCAAGAACTAGTCAACTGACTTTTACAAGGGTCCCTCTGCAAGGGCATTCTACAAGGGTACCCAACAGCTGGGGTGGGAAAGAAGACTTGGCTGTGGCCCTACCTGCAGGAAATCAGGGGCCATCTCTGTTTGGGGGTCCCCCAGTTACTACCACCACCACCAAAACCTACAACAAGGATTTTTTTTTTTTGAGTTGGAGTTTCACTCCATTTCCCAGGCTGGAGTGCAATGGCATGCTCACGGCCACCCCAGTGTTGACCTGCTGGGCTCTGGTGATCTTTCCACCTCAGCCTTCCAAGTAGCCAGAACTATAGGCGCGCGCTAACCGTGCCTGGCTAATTTTTGATTTATTGTAGAGATGAGGTAGAACCTGCGGGCTCAGGCAATCCACTCACCTCGTCCAGTTTCCCTATTTTCAAAATGAGGACACTAACATCCATCTCCCAGGGTGACTGTGAAATGTAATGGCTACAATGTATGTAAAACGTTTAGTACAGTGTCTTGTCCTAGTGAATACTCAGTTGACAGTCTCTGTCATTATCAACAATCTTTGCAATTGCAGATGAGGAAAAGAGATTTTTTTTCCTAATGGACTCTCATTTGTAAAGATAAAATAATTTTGCTTATTAAATTCATTGCTTTAATAGATGGAAGCAGAAGAGGCTGCTGCTAAAACATCTTCAGAAGTGAACCTGGCCAACTTACCTCCCAGCTACCACAATGAAACCAACACAGACACCAAGGTTGGAAATAATACCATCCATGTGCATCGAGAAATCCACAAGGTAAATCGTGGCCAGCCTGTCTGTAGCACCCAATCTCATCAGAGCACCAAGGTTTTATTTGCCTATTTGATACACAAGAGAATGGTAAACTGCAAATTAAAAACCAGAAGGAGTGAGGTTACTGTTTATAGTGGAGAGATACACATCAGGAACCTAAATCACTTTTGCATTTAAGCAATAAATTTATCCCGAGGCTTCCTACCGGTCCAATTGCAAAGGAATGTTCAGGGATTTTTATCACCTGAAAAAAGGAAGCACACAAGTTTCTGGAAAGTGCCTTTCCTAGTATTGGATTTGTGGGATATATCTTATAAGTTTTTTGTGTGTCTCAGAGACACACACAACAGTAGCTTTTGTGTGGCACTTCTCCCGCTGCAGTGATGGGTCCAGCCGGAAGGATCAACTATGGAGGGTACCCCCTAGGTCGGTGAATACATTCACCGCTGACCACAGTCCTTTATCATGGCTTATCTCAAGACTGGAGAATGTTCCCAATTATTCTTGTCAAAACCAGTATCAAGTCATGTTGTAGTGAATCCATCCTCACTGTTTACTTAGAAGGAACATCAATTTCTTTTTTTTTTTTTTAGTTGGAGTCTTACTCCGTCACCCACCCAGGCTGGAGTGTGGAGGCATACTCATGGCCACCCCAGCGTTGACCTGCTGGGCTCTGGCAGTCCTTCCGCCTCAGCCATCTAACCGTTCAAAATTCTTTAGCAGATTTTTTCCCATTGTGACATGTCTCTTGGTTTAACATACTGCGTGAGTAGCAAGCAGGTTCATCCCCAGTCTGACCTGAGGAAGAAAGTCTTGCAGATCTGGAGGAAGGTAGCATTAGCCTGCCCTAAGTATGAGATGCCTCCAGCATGAGCCGGGAGTTGGGGTGGGGGTGGAGGGGAGTGGGGGGAGATTGGAGAGCAAACTGTGGAAGCCTGCGTTGTCTTGAAGAGGGTCTACCCTGCAGATACTCAGGGTCATTGTCAGGGTCATGGACACTCTGAGGTGAATATGAAGGAGCTTGACCTCTCAGCTCCTACCCACAAGGCCACAATGGCTCTCATGAAAGAGCCACACTTTCAGTTCAAGTGCCTGGGTAATTCATTGCTTGGTTAAAACCATAGTGTCTCTGTGCCATGGAGCACAAGGGGGTCAATGTTTCTAATAAGGAGGTCTCTGTGCTACTGCTTTGACTATCAAGCAGCTTTCGTGGCACTTCTCCCACTGCGGTGATGGGTCCAGCCAGAAGGATCAACTATGGAGGGTAACCCCTAGATCAGTGAATACGTTCACCTGCTGACCACAGTCCTTTACCATGGCTTATCTCAAGACTGGAGAATATTCCCAATTATTCTTGTCAAAACCAGAATCAAGTCATCCTTTCTGACAATAATTAGCCAACAGGTTTGGGTGCTCCTTATAGATGTTGAAATGTTGAGTGTGAATGCTACCCATAACTAGTGTGTTTTTTTTTCCAAAATGTATTTAATGTCCTGGCTCTGACTGCATTTATGATATAGGGATATTAGAATCTACATCACAGTATTGCAAGGACCAAATGACTTAAAGCATATGAAAGCTCATTGTAAACTATAAAGTGCAATGCAAAAGTGTGTTCTTATTACTTTTTAATTTTAATTAAAATTTAAGTTTAATTTTTAATAAAGTTTTGCCACCAGCACAGTGCAATAGTTCTCAAGTAGATTCCATGAAACACCAGTCCTATGCAGTGCTTCATGAAAGAGAGGCTCAGTGATGGCAAAATATATTTGGAAAATATTGTATATATCCTCCTCCTAGAGATTTAAGAAAACACATATTGATATGGTAAAGACTCTGAGAAGTCCTACAACCCATGCATACAGGCCTGTAAATTTTGAAAAATATGGCACTGGTTAATTCTGTAAAGGACTGGCTTAGAGGAAGACATTGTCTCTCTTCTGTGGAGAGCAATTTTTAAAATATTATTTTAAAACATTAAAAGCATGATGATGAAGACGTGATCCTTACCTCCTCAGAACTGGAATTTGATCCCCTATACAAATTAGGACAAGTGTTTCCACTTTGTGCTGGCTGCAGATTCCTGTGATACTAGAGCTGGCAGGGACTTTAAAGACGATGTAAAAATGAGAACATGTGGATCAGAGAAGAAAAATGACTTGTTCCAGGTGTCACACTAGATGGTTGCTGGTGACTGATCCAGAACCCAAAGGACACACACTTTCTGTCTCCCTTATCACTAGGCCAGACGTTAGACATGGCCTTGCAGGGGGCAGGCATGACCTGGGTTCTACATTGGACCTATTTGTGAAGTGCCTGCACTTGATTACAGAATCGGAGACGAATACCAGCATCGGAGAAGAATAGGGCAGCATGTCTCTCATTAGACTTAAGCACTTTATTGATGAAATGAAAACCTTCACCAGAATCAGGCGTAGGGCTGCCATAGCTCAAACCTACTTGCTTCTCATGGAAGATGTTCCCCTAGACACCTGACTTTTGAGTGTCAACTGATGAGGCCCAAGTATGCTAAAGCTGGCTGACCCTGGTGAGCATCTGCTGGTGTTGGTCACTATGCTGGGTGCTTTTCATGGCTCATCTCATTTTTCCTGATGGCAGCCCAGCTGGGCGAACTTTTAATCTCCTATCCTGTACTGAGGAGAAACCACCCGCCTCACAGCCGCTGGTGGAACTCAGAGAGAAAGGGAAAGTGAGCATTCTGACCACTTTACCTGGTGTTCCTACTTCAGAAAAAGGTAAAAATAAACACTTGTGGGATTCTCCCAGAATTTCTTCTATTTCACTTTCCCTATACCTTTTCTGTGCTAGGTCACCAACAACCAGACTGGACAAATGGTCTTTTCTGAGACAGTTATTACATCTGTGGAAGATGAAGAAGGCAAAAGAAGCCACGTAAGTTATCATCTTCCCTGCGCTCATACCCCTCCCACCCCCCCCACCCCTGCGCACACACTTCTGTTTAACCTGCCAGCGGGGACCCACTCTGCAGACATGGCAGAAGAGGGCAGGCTCTCGTGCACCTCTCCTGATTTGTTTCCACCAAGGTTCCCCAGTGCCTACATTTCTGACTGGATTGATGCCATCTGGTACCAGCTTATGCTTCCATGCACTTGACATCAGAAACAACAGATAAATTAAATCCAGTTGTCATTTACATGGCCCCATCTCAGCTTTGAAAAGGAATAAGCATGTGTCAGGTATATTGGTTGGGGACCCTGGTAACAGATCCCGTGCATCAGACAGCGGAATGGCCTGTGCCTTTTATAATCCCAGCCCTGCTCAGGTAGTTTGAGAGCACCAGCACCTTACTTGGGAGCCCAAAGGAAAACTGCAGTCTGTCTGCTTAGGGTCTGGTTTCCTGTAAGTGCTCCTGTGAGATGCCTGTTGCCTAGTCTGAAGGTGGGATGGATTGTATAGAATTACGGAGTCCTAAACCAGATGCAGTGGCTCATGCCTATAATTCCGTCACTTTGGGAGGCAGAGGTGGGAGGATAGCCAGAGCTCAGGGGTTCAAGACCAGTCTGTGCAGCTTGGCGAGACCATGTCTCCATAATAAATAAGTAAATAAATAAATAAATTAGCCGGGTGTGATGGTGCATGACTTTGGTTCGAGCTACTTGGAAGGCTGAAGCAGAAGGATCCCCTGAGTCCAGCAGATCGAGGCTGTGGTGGCCATGAGCGTGCCACTGCACTCTAGCCTGGGCAACAGAGTGACTCCAAATCAGGGAAGAAAAAAAAAAAGAATTATAGAGTCCTGAAGTTGGAAAGGGTGTGATTTCACAGAAAGGAAACCTGTACACAGGCAGGGGGATGACCCATTCGGAGTCTAACTCCCAGGCCGGATGTGACTCAATAGCACCTTCTCAAAGAGTTGGCTGGCTTCAGATGCACATGCCTGCTGAGGGGTGGACAAGGCAGCCATGGCACAGATGTGGTCAGCAGGAAAAATGTGCCTTCTTTATGGAGACTGCAAGGACCCAGCCTCTCTGTAACCAGGAGGCTGGTGCATCTCTGGCCTTCCAAGGGCATCGAATATTTTTTCCCACCTCTTTTGGACTTACTGCTGGAAGAGAACCAGAGTACTGATAATAGGAAGGTGTTGTTGTCTTGAATGATAGTTGATGGGTTTTTTTTGTGTGCTTGTTTTTGGCACAGTGCTTACATATAGGGAGCTGGCCCATATTTATAGCAGGCTGGGTATCTGATGGGCTGTACATGATGGTTGTGTATGATGGTAATTCAAGGGGGCCTTGGGGTGGTGCAGAGGACTTACACAGTGAACTGGATAGGGGGGCGCTACCTGTGGAGTCTGGAAGCATCAGATGGGGTATCTTCAAGTGAGTTAATGATGTCCACCATGTCTTCCAGCCCTGAAGATACAGAAGCCTATGAAACAAAAGACAAAGTTAACTAGGAAGAGAGAGAGGGAAGCAAAGCAGAAGCAGCTTGCCAGCCATAGGATGCAATCATGGTTCCCAGAGGGAAAAGCTTTCGTGTTCCAGATATAAGTCTGTGTTTGGGGTCTGATGAAGGTAGAGGGCCTGAGTAGAAGCAATGGAAGGGAGAGGGCAGGGGAAATAGAACTCACAAGCCTGGGAATAAGGAACAAGTCAAAAAAGGTTAGCCTGCCATTGCACGATGGTACAGCTTTGCTCTGGGAAGGGCGACAACCATGCCTGTGAGCACACACTTGTACCTGTAAGAAGCCCAGGTGCACTCGGGGTTGCGATGTGTGCATCTCGTGCTCCCCCACCGCCCCCCAAGTGAGGCATCTGTGTTAGGTTTGAGCCTTGTGGTGAGAAGAACTGAGACTGAAAATGGGGGTAGGTAAGGGACAAGATCTCAAAATGCCAAGGGTGTGCGCTTAGGGCACTGCCTGCACTTTTGTGCTGGGTGCCAGTGAGTTTGTGCCAGCTTCCTGAGTGTGCATGACCGAATGTGTGCCTGTGTGTGTCCCTGCTTTGGGACTCAGCTGGGAAGCCCAGAATCTCTACATCTGCCCGCCTATGGCCATGATGTGATGGAGGACACACCTTGACACCCTTGTGCAGGGCATAATCTGAGCCCTGGTGTCTTGAGAATGCAGGAAGTTGAGAGAGTGACAGATCCAGGAAACCCAGATGGTAGAGGCTTACCAGGGTTTCCTTGATTCCTGCTCAGCCCCTCAGGGTATGAGCTAGTTGGGTTTCTCTATGAGAATGGCTAGAATTGGCTAGAAGGGAAACCTGGGGCTGCTGATGCTTGACTGGCTGGTGTCTGGCCATTCCCACAGGACTTTAGAGAACAGATTGCAGACTTTTCAAACTGCCTGTGAGAGAGACGTCATGTGGCAGAAATGATGGCGTGTGGTCTCATTTCAGAGCTTTGCTCACTGCCAGAGTGGCTTGTCAAGCCAGGGAAGCCAGATCTAGTGTCACATGCTCACAGAATGCCCCCATTCAGCTGCTCTTCTGTCCCAGGGCTCACCGTCATCCTAACACATTTGAGCTAGGACTTGGGCACCATCTTTATGGAGACACGGAGCTCCTTTTTGGGGGGAGGAAGCTCTAATGACTAGTTTGTCTTCCAAGGGATGCGAAGAGCCATACATTGTGACCACTGTCCCATTGCATCATTTTGCGATTTAATGATTTTTACAGTTGGCTCTGAAACGCATCATACGCTGCAGGGATTTTCTCTAACAGGGAAGATGGAGATTTGCAATTGCAAAGCCATTTAAAATACCACAAACAGAGGCTGTATTTTCAGGATTTCAAATTCCCAGATGAATTCAATTAAAAATAATCACCAAGCACCCCATATTTTCTTTCCTCAAATGCTGGAATGTGTATTAATCGGTGTGGTAACCTGAGGAGGTGCACGGAAAAGTTACAGACAGTAACACTATACGCCTGTCTAGAGGTTGCATGCAGTATGTGCAAGGTTCCCTTCTGCTTTTACACTCAAATGTGAAAGGGGAAAAGGACACTGTGGCTTGTTATTTCACCTGAGTGCATCGGCCGATGGGGATGTGGGCTGACGTCTTTGTGGTGAGGCTTTTGTGCTGTGTCCTCTGCCGTCCCTGCTTCACGGGCCAGTGGGCGGGCACCCCAATGCTGTGCAGCTTTTGTGCTGCTGGTGAGGAGGGGCACGGTGTGTTGGGAGCCAGAGAATGGACAAGCTGTTGTGCATTAATAAGATGCTTTTATTTATAGAACAGTGTCCCCACATAGGAAGAGTCTGGCCCAGATAGTCAAGGCACCATTTTGAAGGGACCCATCCTCCCATTAAAATACAGCTTGCAGCCAGGCACAGTGGCTCAAGTCTGTAATCCCAGCACTTTGGAAGGCCGAGGTGAGAGGATTGTGTGAGCCCGTGGGTTTGAGAACAGCCTGGGCAACATGGTGAGACCTCATCTCTCCAATAAATAAAAAAAAAAAATTAGCTGGGCATGGTAGCGCATGCCTGTAGTTCCATCTACTTGGAAGGCTGAGGCGGAAGGATCACCGGAGCCCAGCAGGTCAGTGCCGGGTGGCTGTGAGTGTGCCACTGCACTCTAGCCTCGGTGACCGAGTGAGACTCCAACGCAAAAAAAATAAACAAATAAAAATACAGCTTGCAGCTACAAGGCCTGAATTTACTGTCTTCTGGTTTTACATTAGAAGATGACATGAAAAAATGAGTCTGTTTGTTTTTCCACCTGGGCACACCTAGTTTGAAACTATTGGTTCAATCATGTACAAGCAACTCCAAGATACTGGTCAATATTTCTCAGACTATAGGTGGACAAATTTCACTACCAGAATCATCCAGATTATAGAGATCTGAGTGACCCAGTGACTGTTTTGTTCTAGAGAGTGAACAGTGCCAATAGTGGACACAGTAGTCTGAGGACAGTGACCATGGAGTCTCCACGAGTGGGAAGCCAAATGCTTTCCTTGCTGCAGGAAGACTTTGTTATTTGTGTCAAAGCCTGGGGAACATGGGAGGTTAAACTGTGGCCAGCTTTTCAAAGGTTTTGTGTGTTTATTCCCATAAAGCTGTAAGCATCCTGTCACTGTCACTTCAAAGCCCAAAAAGACCAGACTAGAATGCAGGAGGGGAAAGGGTCAAATGACTGCTGTCTCCCTCAGATTTCAAGTCCTTCCCTGACCCCACCCCCCCTTGTTTATTTACCACAGAATAGAAAGGTGGGTGGCAGCTTATTTCTCTCCCTGTGCCTGGTTTCTGATGCTGGACTCTATCAATTTCATGGAATGTCAGAGGGTACCTTGATGACAAATCCCTGGGGGGTTATTTTAAGGGAGTTGAACCAGGGGAGGGTACAGACTCTTTAGAGACTCAATCCGTTCCCAGAAGATCTGCCTCCTGGGGGGAGACCTGTTGGGTCCAGGGAGACTGAGGTGACAGAGGTCCCAGGAAATGCAACCCTTCTCTTCGGTTAGTCTGGAGGCAGAATGAAGTCTGAACAAGGTGAGAGGTAGACTCGGGTTCAAACCTTGCCTTGATTCTCAGTTTCTTCAGCTATCAAATGGGGCTGATAATCTCCCTTTCCCTTTGAGAATCTAGTGTGGCAAGGTTTATAAAAGCTCTTTGTGTGAGGTTCATTATGACTGAAAAGTAATTAAAGCTGGGTTCTAATGGGCTTCTCCCCTGGCTCCCAGCAACCTACTGCAAAAAGAGTGGAATTTGACTAGAAGTTGGAGATGTGCGTAAGGTCTCCTCAGGCCTCCTACCATGACGTGTTATAGCCTTGGGCTTGTTTCATTCTGCTGTAGTCTGCCTCGGCCTCTGAGTCATGTGCTTTGCTAAAAGCTGTTTGCTCCTGGCATGGGTTGACTCATCCCTCTGCCAGTCCTGTCCTTGCCTGTCATGTGTGTCTGGACTGGGTGCTAGGTATACAGACAGAAGGA